GGGACTCGATCCCAGGACCCTGGGATCATGACCTGAGCCGAAGGCAGACGCTTAACCATCTGAGCCACCCAGGCGCCCCAAATGGGAATAATTCTAATGGTTCTCTCATAGTGCTGCTATGAGAACTGAATGATATAATTATGCATGTGCTCAGCATAGGGCCTGCCCGGCACAGAGTATCACTCAATAAATGTTAGCTGATTGTTACTTTCATTATTGTTATCATCAACATCTTCAGCATCAAATGCCTTGGTGGAGCTCAATATAAATTTGATGACTTCACCCATGCTGGTCTTACACAGTATCTTATCCATACTCCACGCTGAATGTCTACGTGTTAAATAAATCAACACTGAGGTGCTTTAATTAGGCCTTTGGATTTATGCCAACAATTCCAAAAGATCTAGAAGAGAGTCACAATTTTTTTTTTCATTGAATTTTGTATGTGAAGTATTCCATTTCCTGGACAAAATAAGTTTGTGTTTAGACCCTTGCGCTTATGGTATCATTTAGTCTTTGAAAAACATACCCTTTGTTTTGAGTTTTATCGCTAGCAATGAAGGTTCTAGTCTTTGGAATGCACCCAGCTATTATTTAATGATGCATACAGAAGAAGAAAACATAATTTGACCTACTTTCTGTTTATTACCTTTACATTTCTGGCAATAAGACACAGAAGCTGCAAAAACCTACACAATCACGATGTCATGTTTTGATTTTCTTCTTTTCTGCTATCCTTACTAGAGTTACTTTCGTCCTTCTTCCTCATCTCTTTCCCATCCTCTCTGCCCTTCAGTCAATTGAGTTAGTGCAATTGGGCTCTAACTTTGTGAATGTGAAGTGTTTTGTTTTAGTAATATCAATTAATAGGACTTTATACGCTAAAACCAATTTCCTGTTTTCATATCCTCTTCTTAATGTTGTCGGTGCTCAGGAAGTAATTATTTTAGTTCTCTGACTCACTGTTGTTATTGCCCTTTGAAGAGTTTTGTATCCCAAGCACCTAGCTCTGTCCTTACTTGGCACAGACTCTTAAATACAACTGCTTAATGTTCTTGAATCAAGGACTTTTGCTGCTTTAGGAAACAAGGCTCTTTCAACTTCTGCATTCCTTTAGGGTGGTTTACGATGGGTAATTATGGCCTTAAGTATAGCTCAGATTTAAAAAAAAAATTACTTTAATCTTCTATTGTAGTTAGTTCTCAATGCATGTTTTCCACCAAACATATGATTAAAAAGCATGATATGAATATTTTTTAGTCTTGACGGTTTTTTTAAATCTGCAGCCTACTAAGTGACCTAAGTTGCTCAGACTCTGAAGGACGGTGAATTAGCAGGAGCAGGGAGCCCAAAGAGTGCAGAGCCTTCCCTGGACACATGAAACAATGGAAAGCTTTGGACTTGTTGGCAGGGAAGGTGCAGCATTTTCATATGCAGATTTTTTTTTTTTTAAGATTTTATTTGTTTATTTGACAGAGAGAGACACAGTGAGAGAAGGAACACAAGCAGGGGGAGTGGGAGAGGGAGAAGCAGGCTTCCCACAGAGCAGGGAGCCCGATGTGGGACTCGATCCCAGGACCTGGGATCATAACCTGAGCTGAAGGCAGACGCTTAACGACTGAGCCACCCAGGCGCCCAGAAACCTTTTTCTTAATAGAAAAATGTCACCCCACTCCTGTGCCACTTCTTCTTTCCATAGCTCTGTAAGTTGGCTTAGGGTTATTCATGGCTACTCATGTTTTCCGTCTCTGTTTGGCTAGACTATACACCGTGAGGCAGGGATCTTCACCACGCTTGTTCGCAGACAGTCATATATGAGGCATTCAGCATATATCCGCTACATGAGAAGGGTTTGCACCTTGACCTCGCATCTGTCTTACAGTGTTGAAGAGACCCGTAACTTCTGAGGAACTCCTGACTCCCGGGGCTCCGTACGCAAGGAAGACATTCACGGTAGGCTCCTCATTTGGGTTTTTTCAGGCTCGTTTTCTGTGCCGTGTCAACATGTCAGTGTACCAGTGTGTAGCTTAGGGATAGAATTGAAAAACCTTCTAATTTTCCTTTTGTCTTTGGCATTATTCTAATAGTAGATTTTCTTGACCCTTGGACACTAAAATGCATTAGGACTTGACATGATTTATGATGAATACAGCATTTTAAGCTCCTTTTGATGTGCCCTTAAGAAAAGATTTCCACTATATACTTAGTCTGATATAATTACAGACTTTAAGGCAAATGGCAGGGCAAATAATGCCAATAATTCTTTCTATGTTACGGTTAATCCCCAAAACCATTTAAGACATTAGAGGAGTCTTTAGGGGAAAAAAGAAAACTATGGGATAATCTGTTCTACCATAAGGAATGGTGCTTTTGACAATGCTGAGCATGTCTTGAGTTATACAAGCACTGGATTTTGGAGCACTGCATACCTGTGAGCACCTCCTAGCCACCTGCCCCTTCTTGGAGGTCCTCCAGCCTTCCTTCTAGAACTACCAGCCCTGCAGGCTTTCTTCAGACAGAATCCAAGTGCTCTGATTGACAGCACCTCACCCACTCTCCATCCCCCACCTCTTTCTCTCAGTCTCTGCACAAAACCACATCAATGTGCTCTTGAAAGCACTTCTCTTCCTTCAGTCTTCTAACTTTTGGGGGCGCCTAGATGGCTCAGTTGGTTAAGAGTCAGTCTGCCTTCCACTCAGCTCATGATCCCAGGGGCCTGGAATCCCACATCGGGCTCCCTGCTCAGCAGAGAGTCTGCTTCTCCCTTTCTCCATCTACCTCTCCCCCTGCTCATGCTCATGCTTGCGCTCTATCTCAAATAAATAAATAAAATATTTTAAAAATCTCCTAACTTTTGTTTTATTACCTCAGGGACAAAAAAAGAAAAATCTTTCCACACCCATTCAGGCTGCAAATATTTGTCAAGGACTGCTTCACATTCTGGGCACTGAGGAGTTAAAATAAAGATGGGCCCAGTCATAGCCAGTCAATATGAAAAAAGCCCTGGAAATATGTCTGTATCCGGGGAAAAGGTAAACTATACTTTTGGAAGTGAAATTAGGTATAAGAAACTAGTAATACTAGCAAAGCCTAAAGCCAATGAAGGGCCTAGACATCTGTTTGAGAATGTTCACAAAAATTGCATTTTCTTTCCTGCCTTGCCTCAGTCTCAAGCATTCGAGAAACAGTTGATTATGTTTGCAAGTTTTTTGGTTTCTTTTTGGTTTTAAATGTAAATGCCAGCATTGCTAGTAATTGTGAGTGTGTGTCTTCGGCATTTCAGTTAGGGTACGTATTAAAGACATGTCTGGGAGCTGCCCAGGGAATGTAACTGCCCCTTCTAATGATTCTATAGGAAAAGGCACCCTCCGGTTTCAAACCACTTTTGGAATAGCACCTACTTGTAAATTGTGAACTTTATGTACTTACTCACTTACTTTTCTTGGTAGAGAAAATTGTGTTTCAAGAAAGCCAAAACTCTCATAAATTTCCCACTGTTAGTAATTTAAATTGTTCCTTTGGACTTCAAGGATGTAGCAAGGTCACCAAGAAAGTATCATTTGGATCCAGGGGAAAAAGAATAAACTTGGAACAGAAATTGGGTCTGGAGAGAAATTTCAACCATGTTTTCACGATCTTCTAAATTTTCCACTGGAGTCTGATATTACATTGCATAGCAGCCTAAGAAAGAGGCAATCTGCCAGTTATGTATTGAGTATGCCCTCACAGAACAAGCTTATTTCTGCCAAACAGGTATTGCCTGACCCCCTTTTCTGCATCGACATGCCTGTGTTTGTGATAGAAGCAAAGTGTTCTGTTCTCCCAACAAGGTTCAGATGGAGCAGAGAAGAGATATGTCAGGGCACACACTTAATCCGGGGCTGGTTTTCTTTCTCTTGGAAGGACAGGCAAATTGCCAGAGACCGTCTGCTGATTAATAATTGTGCTTTTCCTCTCCAGATCGTCGGTGATGCTGTTGGCTGGGGCTTTGTGGTACGGGGAAGCAAGCCGTGCCACATCCAGGCCGTGGACCCCAGCGGCCCGGCTGCGGCAGCAGGAATGAAGGTACCTCCAACTGGGCAATGTCTGAATACCTCTAGCCTCCTTTCATTGTTTGTGCCATCTGTACTTTCTCCCCCCGAGTGGTTTGGTCTCATTTGGGTCAAGTTTCCTTTCCCCTTTCTGAAGAGGGTTGAAGTGAAGCCAAGAGTGTGTGATGCGGCGAACAGGGAGAAAAAGGTTTCCTGTCACTCTGACAGGGCCTCATTGGTCTCCAGCCCTCCCTTGAGTTTTTCTCATCTCTCCCCTTTAACCGATACTGAGTTTGAACATAAAATAGTTGCTTTTTTGCTCAAGTCTTATATAACTCTACAGCTTCGGTTCTATACAAAGTGTATTCCGGGGGGATTTATGCAGCCAGGGAGCATGCTTAGACCATGTGAGGCAGCAGTGAGCTAAAGAAAACAGAAGTCATGGGATTTGGAAGAGGAGATCTGGATTCCCATTTTGGTTCTGCTAATTTCTAGCTCTTTGACTTTGAACGAGTCCTGTAACTATCTCAGAGGCTGTTTCGTCCTCTTTCAAATAATAATCATATTTCCTTCTGTCGTTTTATGGATTAAGTATGTAGAAACATTTTATATAATGTGCAAAGAATGACACAAACATCAAACAAGTTGAATGAATCATGGAATATTTTTGAAAATAACTTTTAGATATTTTTTGGTACTAAAGTAATGCATATAGAGTCAAGAAAATGTAGAAAATACAGACCAGCAGGAAAAATAATGATAATTGCCTGTAATATTTTGTAACTCAGAGATAACCACTTTTAACATTAACTTTAAGCAGCTTTATTGGGGTATGACTGACATACAATAAAGCGTAGTCCTGTTCATGTTTTGATTTATATTCTTCCAGACTCCTTATATTATGTATACACATATACACACATACATATGTATATATGTATATATATCTATACACTGGTTTCTTTAAGCTTTTTAAATTGAAGTATAATTAACATACAATGTTATATTAGTTCCAGGTGTATAGCATATTGATTTGACAATTCTGTAGATTACTCAGTGCTCACCAGGGTAAGGGTAGTCGCCATCTGTCACATTGTTTTTATTTATACAGAAATATCATGTAAGAGGATGTGAGAGCATGGCTTTCTGCTTCAAAACACCTTTACCTGGGGTGTCTGGGTGGCTCAGCCAGTTGAGCGTCCAACTCTTGGTTTTGGCTCAGGTCATGATCTCATGGTTGTGGGATCGAGCCCCATGTCAGGCTCTGTGCTCAGTGCAGAGTCTGCTTCAGATTCTCTCTCCCTCACCCTCGCCCTCACTCTCTCTCTCTCAAATAAATAAAATCTTAAAAAAAAAACCAAAAACACCTTTACCTAGCCCAGTTTTCTTCTGTCATCTGTAAAACATTCCACAAAGGACACTTAGGTCTTGATTATCTGGGCCCATGGAAGGATGCAGAAGGCTTGAAAGCCACAGATCATTCCTCTGCTTATTTCTTCGATACTCTCATCCTCTCCCATCATCAGTCCTTTTCCTGGACCAGTAAACCAGGAAAGCAATAGGCATGACTTGGATGTTCACAGCTCTGATGTCCAGCACTTACCCTCTGGCGCTGATGTTCCCACTGGAAAAGAAAGCTGGGCAGCAGAGACCAGCTCCAGGGTGCACGGAGCACAGATTACAGGCAGCCTGAGTGATCGGTGCTGCAGGATTAGGGGTTGACTCTGCGCCCTGATTTGAACACCTCCTTCAGGGGCTCACCAGGTCCTGTGCTCTGGACAAGTTGCAGAAGCCTTGCTGGCCAGGGCCGTCTGTGTGATAGGCCCTTCCTCCCTCCTCGTTCTGCAGCGGGCACAGCACCAAAGGACCTCGGAGCAGGAAAGTTGGCGAGGAGCATGAAGGGCGAGCATTTGTATCTGTGCCAAAGCTGAATTTGTCATTTTCTAATGGAACTCTTGGCTGGGGGAAGAGTTTTATATTTTATTTCCACAGCAAAGCACCTAGTATAAATTATTTTTGGCAGAGCATGCACTCACTCACATGGGGCTTTGACTTAAAGCATTGTTTGCTTTGGGGAAAGCAATGGATTTACACTGCAGCTAAAGACCTTGTTGTGCTTGGCCACGTAATTGATTTTAGTCTATCTTTATCAATTAACATGAATAACTGTTCTAGGCATTGTCAATCGATCAGTTAATTAACTCCTTAATGTAGATACTCTGATAGGTGGGTAACCTGATATATTTTTTCAATTTCATAAGCTACTATTTCATATGGTTTATATTCTTAGTTTCTCAAGGGGTGTGCAATGGTTTTCATATATTTTAGAAAGGTACAGAATTTATTAGCGTAGCATTTCCAAAGTTGTATTATACAGCTCTCTGCTCCAGCAAAATATCCTGACCTGAGGTTCTGTGATCAAAACTTTGATTGATTGATTGATTGATTGATTGATTTAAAGAGAGAGATTGTGTACGTGTGTGCCCACGAGCTGTGGGAAGCAGGGGCAGAGGGAGAGAGAGAGAATCTTAAGCAGGCTCCACCCCCAGCACGGAGGCTCCATCTCACAACCCTGAAATCATGACCTGAGCTAAAATCAAGAGTTGGACATTTAACTGACTGAGCCCCCCCACCAGGTGCCCCTGTAATCAAAACTATTTCAAACTACTGTACACTTTAGCACCCTGTCAGAAATTCACAAAGCGCATTAGCATATTAAAAATTCTGTCAAGTCCAGCAGGCAAAAAACTTGTTTAAATTGTCTAATACAGCTTTTTATCATTTAATAGAAACACTCAAATGAAATCTTATGATTGTTAAGATATAGCATTAAAACTGTTCAAAGAGGGGCACCTGGGTGGCTCAATCAGTTAAACGTCCGACTCTTGATTTCGGCTCAGGTCCTGAGATCAAGCCCCACATCGAGCTCTGCGCTGAGCACAGAGCTTGCTTAAGATTCTTTCTCTCATTTTCCCTCTGCCCCTCGCCCCTGGCTCTCTCTCTCTTAAAAAAAAAACAAAAAAACCAAAAAAAAAAGCAAAACAAAAAACTGTTCAAAGAAGCTGCTTTTGGTCAAAGTCTATATTGGGATGAATATATAGAGATATATTTTTGAATTGTATTGCTGGTTGAATGCAAAAGACAGAGAATACCATACCCTTCCATATAATTTAACTGTGTATATTCATTTAAATTACTTAAGGGGCGCCCCACATGGAGCCCCACATGGAGTTCCTGTTTGGCGGGAAGCCTGCTTCTCCCTCTCCTACTCCCCTTGCTTGTGTTCCTCTCTCTGCCTCTCTCTGTCAAATAAATAAATAAATAAAAATCTTTAAAATAAATAAATAAATAAATTACTTAGCACATTATTTTCTCACAGAAAACACTGAATTGTTTCCTATTTTACTGTATTTACTTGCCCTGGAATAACTCCACTTACATAAAAATCCATTTGTATAATCCAGTCCTATAGGCTTGTTTCCGCTGACCTGTCACATTGCTGTTGCCCTTTGCCCTTGTCCCAGAAAACTACAGGGAAGTGTATCTGGTTGTCCCGAGCTCTGGGAAGGTGGGACCAGGGACACCACCCCGTGGGAGCTTATCCACTGACCTGGGCAATGATTGACCTGCTTGGTCTGGGTGGTAGAAAGGATCCAAAATTCTGGCCAGAAGCCTCCTTTTAGCACCTGTGACTGGCAGGAGCGGACTCAGGATGGTGTAAAGTGCCTCACTTTGTCTTCAGGTCACTGTCTCTGTGGAACCCCAGGCTCATCCCTCAAGTCAAGGTCCTGGTTTTCTCCTGCTTTCTGATGTGGACACAGCCTTGTGCCTGAGCCTTTGTGACTGTGGCTGCTGAATTTCACTACTTTACTTGCTAAAACGGAGATCATCTTGTAGCTAAGTTTCTCATAGGTACCATTTCTCTCTCTTATTTCACCTTTCTATGGGGATCGGAAAGTTTTAAGATGTGGGCCACCAGCATGTGGACAGGAGAGACCCCAGACCGAAGAAACTGAGGGCCACTTTCACTGGTTAACACATCTAGACCTTCCCAGACCCAAAGGAGAGCTCCTTGCCTGGTTTAAATGACATCCTTAATCCATCATGAGAGGAGACCTTCATATTTGTATTAACATTTACTTCTCTAGAACGTCTGGAAGAACTTCAGAGAATATGTGTCCTTTGGGAGAGGGATAAGTGATAAGTGGGGAGAATTCTAGATTGGAGTAGAGACATCTGAGACCTTTGTGCCTGGGCCACCTAGCCCCATGGCCCCACAGCTCTCATGCCTGTCTCTCTGTACCGCTGACTGAGGCAGGTGGGGCTGGATCAGGACTGGGCTGCAGGGTGGGATTGCTGAGAGGCAGGGCCAGGAGCATATAAATGTGTAGAGTGTGTGGTGGGGGTGGGGGGGTCAACCTGACCTCCGTTGTAAGTGGAATTGAGTTTTAGATGTTTTGATCAATTATTAGAGTTTTATGTGATCTCAAGCTTGTTTGTAAAGTTTGTCTTTAGTCTGTTTCTCCCCTTCCCTTCTGATGACTTGCTCTCCATGCAGTAGGAAAATATTTGTTCCCAGAGACCTAAAAGGAAACGGATGTTGCAAGAGGCCCCAAACTATAACCTTATTTTTAGTTTTGTCTGAATCAAGACACTCATAAAAAAAAGAGAACAATTAGTTGCATCTTTTCTTTAAGATTTTTTTTTTTTTAATTTATTTTTTGACAGAGAGACAGCAAGAGAGGGAACACAAGCAGGGGGAGTGGGAGAGGGAGAAGCAGGCTTCCCGCTGAGCAGGGAGCCCGATGCAGGGCTAGATCCCAGGACCCCAGGATCATGACCTGAGCCGAAGGCAGACGCTTAACGACTGAGCCCCCCAGGCTCACCTAGTTGCATCTTTTCTAAGAAGTTTGCTGTTTTGTCTCATAGGACCCCCTCCTCGCTCCTGTGCCTACAAAACAACAGCTGTAGAGTCATTAAAATTCTCACTTGATCTAGCGTCTTTGAATTTGGAGCTGTTTTTCTTTTGATTGT